CTTTCCAACATTTTCATGGCCGCATATATTGAAACACAAAGTTTAAGCAAAACCGTCTTTAAACCAACTGTTTGAAAATGCTACATAGATGATATTTTTTCCCTGTGGGACATAAGTAAACCAGACATGGTAGATTTCTTCAAATTCACGGAACAAGTAAACTTACTTCACCCTACTTCTCCACTGGCCATGAAATTTACGCCCGAAATATGTGACACTGAGACAATCTTTTTATACCCCGTTGTATACCAAGGCACAACATTCAACGAAAAATGAGAAAAAGCTATCACTGACGTAAAGACGTATATACATTTTCACCTCTTACCACCCACCAAATGTTAAAATGGATTTGACCGATGGATTTGGCCTTGAGTATCCTACGAACAAACTCCTCTGAGGAAGTATTTCAGATTTCAAAAAGCGGTTGATGGACATAGGCTGGCCACATAATTTTGAAATAAAAATTGCTATTAGAAGTAAAACTCACAGGAGAAAAGCAGCGCTCCTGAAACAAAACAACAAGGAAGAAAAAGAAATATTGCCTTTCGTGACACAATACAAGCCCTTAGTGTCTATTATAAAAGAAACTTTAATGTAAAAGTGTAATCTCATACAAAACCAACCACTACCTTGCCAACTTAACCCTCAGACGTACACGCAAAATCATACCCCCCACCATGGTACAAGAGGATGGTAGATGGAACCCCTCCCCAGAGTTTTTGATATGTTGCAGTATTTTGAAGCGATTTTGCCTTCACTGAAAAGCCTTTGATCTTCGTAACAAGATGAGGTATAATTTACGAATGGTAGCACTGCTGGAGGCCTGTTATGTCACCAACGATATGCGCCATCTTTGCCGTCATCTTGGATATTACAAAGAATTACAAAACAGGTTAAAACAAAGAGAAATGTTTATTGCTTGACATGAATAATAACACATAAATAAGCACTTTGCATGATTTTAGCTGCAAGATTTTTCTTTTATTGTTGAAAAGAGTTGAAAAAAAAACATATATTTTCACTCAAAATGGCTTGACAACCTGCTACTTATTACGTCATACCTCGTAACCATAGAAACTGATCATCACTGAACTTTTCTCAAAATGCGTGCGAGGGGTAAACGAACATCTACTGGAAACCTCAGGTGCTGATGTTTTATCCTCTTGGAAAAATCCCAGAAAACCTAAAGGGGGTGGCATCCACCCCCCACCCCTTGTATGTCCAAGGGTTAAAGTGTTATTTCTTTGAGGAAGGAAACTTATGGCAAAGGATAGATGTGCAGCCCGTCACCCCTTGCAGTTTTCCACTAAGCTGATAATTTAAGTATCCAAAAGGCTGGTGTCCATTAATTAATTAATTACTTTTTACTGTGCCGTGTAATCGACAGGGAAACCAAGTTCGCATTTACAGTAAAACATTTGGTGATCTTATCAGTACGCATGATATTCATTTGGCGACCACAGGAGCCGATCAGCTCCTGACGATGATGTTGCATAAACAAACAAGAGTTATTGAAGTTTAAGTGGCAATCAAATGATGCATTCTTACAAGTTTTACTCTTTCCCTTGGGATCAAAGTCTTGAAACTTGGTGAAATACATAAAAAATATTAATAATTAACAAGCGTTTTTACTTATTAACTGAGATTTTCGGACAACCAACAAAAATCAAGAAGTTTAACGGACTACCGACAAAGATCGAAAATTTTAACCGGCTACTGACAAAGTAACTGAATTTTAACGGCCAACCGACAAATGGACCCCCCCATTCAGACTCTCTACAAGTGCTCTTGAGTTTCAAGACTTAGGGTGCGTTCTTTTGGGGTGATCCAGATCCGGATCGGTGATCCAAGATCACTCGGATCACGATGCATCAAAGGAACTGACGAATCCACACACGGGTTCATCGATTCCTTTGATGCGCGCCCTTAGGAAAATTATTTATACTTAACCTGGATTGGTTCAGGTAACCAAACATTCCATGATCATACAATAATTATTTGACTTCTCTTAATAGTATAAGCACTTAATATCTACTTATTTAATATATTTTTCTTCTCAGATCGAGCCGTAAAAATCGTTTGTTTGCTGGACTTTGGTTTGGGAAAGGAAAGCCGCACTTACCAACATTTTCTAAGACCATTTTCCCTTTCAGTCCAGGGGCTTTTCTCTAGTGGTAAGTGTGTCATTCTTCTTACCACGCACAATCACCCAAATATACATACAAAATAAATTAATGCAAGCTAAATATGTTGGGAAAATGCAAATCTGTAGCAGAAAATTACAAGGACCTGCAAGGTTCACAACTTGAGGTGTGGCTTTTAAATCAAATTACATCATGTACATATATTAATTAACGTGATAGTAACTTGTTGGAACTTCTCAAGAGTAATTGTTTACTTTATCTGTTGGTTATTCTACAATTGTTATAGCAATACAGTGTAAACATGCCCTTGATCGAGACCCATTTAAGTGGAGTCATGTCACACAATCTGTTTATAA